TTCCTCAGCACCACATAAGCAGAAAAAAAAAGGCAGAAGTGGTGCTGTAGCTCAAATGGTAGAGCGCTCGCCTTGAGCTGAAGAGCTGAGGGACAGCACCCAGGCCCAGAGTTCAGGCCCACGACCTGACCCCCCAAAAAAAATTTGCAGAGAATTTTTCAAGAGTAATTGAAGTATGAATTTCATATACCCTTTAGTCATATATATATATATAGTCATATATATATATAGTCATATATATATATATACACACACACACACACACATATAATCTCTAATAATAGGCATCAAAAATATGTGGAAACATAAAAACGTTTGTTATGCTACCTATTGCTGCATTAAAAGTTGGAAGACACACTTGATTGCACAGCAATGAAGATTAAATTGCTATATAAAATATGATGGTTGACTTTTGCCCTAGTTTTCTTCAGCACTACTTTGTTTGTTTGTTTGTTTGTTTTTTGGTCCGGTCGTGGGGCCTGAACTCTGGGCCTGGGCAATGTCCCTCAGCTCTTCAGCTCAAGGCTAGCGCTCTACCACTTGAGCCATAGCACCACTTCCGGATTTTTTCTTTTTGCTTAGGTGGAGCTGAGGAATTGAACCCAGGGCTTCAGGCATGCAAGGCAAGCGCTCTACCACTGAGCCACCTTCCCAGCCCCTTCATCACTAGTTTGTATATGAGGGGTTACCCATTCACACCTCTTTTTCTAGGCTTTTCTCTCAGCTGGTTTTTAGTTCAGTCTAAGGAAATAATACCAAGAATATGTCTCCAGGTAAACTGAATAAAGGTAGAAGTCACATTACATTTTTCCCTTTCCTTTCTGCCTTCCTAACTTTGATTGGGTCTAGTCAGTGGGCCATGTTCCTGCTAGACAGAGAGAGCCCTTATCCTTCAATGTTCTCTGAGGAATACGAGATATTGGTATCTAATTAAAATAACCTTTTTTTTTTCCTTTGCAATTTAAGGAAACTAGTGCCTTCCTAGAAATGTTAGTCTCTAGATTGCTTCCTTTGTCCTCTTGAGGTATACCTACCTCCATCATCTCTGTCACTCATTCTATGTATTATATTTCTGATGCATGAAAAAATAGAGGGAAAATTAGAATTAACCTGGTGTCTATGGCTCACACTGAGGTGGTTATCTATTCATCTAGGTTTGAAGCCAGCCTCATAGTCAAATCTGAAGGGCTTTTATCTGTCATTAACTAATAAAAAGCTGGAACTGGAAGGATGGTTAAAATGATAGTGCACTAGCCTTAAGCAAAAAAATCTAAGAGAAAACCCTTGCTTTAAGGCCCAGTACCAGCATATAAAACAGAAACAATAACAACAATGTCCTTTCATGGTAAAATACCCATGACAGAGGCATGTATCATGTATAACTTGGAAGGAAGGGATGCAGTATATGGTGGAAAAAGTGATGTGATGTCGCTTTTTACTCACTATGTTATTTAGATTTTCCCTGTCATGTATCACATTGATAATTAAAAAAAAATCTAAAGGCAAGGCAATGTTAATAAAGTATTGAGCCTAATATGATCACTTTTGTTAAATACTTATCCCAATATGTGCCTAACTTGCACTGTTGGAAAATATGGGAAACTGTGATGCAATGATTGCTTTAAAATGAATATCTTAGGGAAGAGTGAACCTGCCATCTTTGCTCAAATGCAATTTTTTTCTATGAAAAGTTCAGCAGATAAACTTTAAAAACTGCATCCTAAGCCGGGCACTGGTGACTCACGCCTGTAATCCTAGCTACTCAGGGGGCTGAGATCTGAGGATTGTAGTTCAAAGCCAGTCGGAGCAGGAAAGTTCGTGAGACTCTTATGTCCAATAAACCACTACAAAAACCTGAAGTGGTGCTCTGGCTTAAGTGGTAGAGTGCTCTCCTTGAGCTGAAGAGTGCAAGGACAGTGCCCACGTCAGAGTTCAAGCCCCATGACCTACAAAAAACAAACAAACAAGCAAAAAACCCCAACTGCATCCTATTGAATTAAAGACATGAGTGGTTTACTGTGCACTAAGTCTGAGCACTGAAACATGACCACACATTTCATACATCCACTTTGTAGATACATAGTCACCTTACAGATCTTTGGTGTTCTCTGTGTCACAAGCTGTGACATGTCTAGCTATAAATTTCTGTCATATTGCAGGCAACACTTCTAATAATGTACATTATTCAATAATCTGAAAATTTTCTAAAATCTATTTCCACAAACAAAATGAAGTTCTATATTAATATACTCATCATATTTATTGTAGATTTAATATATATTGTAACCAGGTGCTGTATGATGATACTCTAAAATTTTTCTTAGATTCTTACTTTTTTCTTTTGTGGTTAATTATAAAATTATAAATCATGGTCTTCTAATCGTAATTGCATTACTTTATATAGTATAATACTTTTAGGAGTGCAATGTAGCAGAGTGGTCACAGTAGTCTGTTGATAATTTACTTATCATTTGTGTATTTATAGCTTCCTTTTTAATGACATGATTATTAAGAATTGCATTAAGCAATATCTTGGCAACATGTACAGTCAGGGAGAGTCCATTTTTCTTTAAATTAGATTATGAAATAAGCCAAAGGCTCCAAGTTGTTCTACTAACTTGCAAAACATACTGAATCAGATCAAACATACACAGGCAGTAACAAGCTTGGTATCTTTCAAGCTAATGAGTAGAACGCCCTGTCCCTTTACCAATTAAGAGTTTTGTGAAGACTGCAAATGAAATGCATTGTGCTGCTCAGAACAGAGGGGAAAAAATCTGGTATTACTCATGTGATTTGACTCTAACTTGCACCCATGATCGGAGTCTTTCTTCTCAGTTGATACAGTAATAAGTTAATCCAGCTACAAATTTCTCCGTGTCTTTGATTTGGAGTGAGTCCACCTCTCACTCTTTCCCATCCCCCTTTCTGGCCTTGTTCCTAGTGAACTTTGAGCTTGTTCTTGATCTTTGTGTTTTCCTGTCTCTACTTAGTCAGCTGTTGGCTGTGCTCTCTGTGGAGCTTTGGATCTTGCTTCACTGTTTGACAAAGGCTTGTTTTGTGTTGCACATCACCTCCTTTTTGTTTTGCCTCTGGTTTCAACCACTGAAATATGAATATTCTCCAGACAAGGGCCGAAATGAAGAACCCAGAAGTCCAACATGTTTCATTTTCCCAGGGTTTTCGAATGTTGTTTTACTTGATACAGCCGAATGAAACTTCTTTCCAAAACCTAGAAGAAGTGCCGAACTATGTAAAAGAGGTGAGGCTACATTAAAAGGTGGGCTCTTGCTATTTTGTTTTTATTAAGAAGTAAGGTTAGTATATCCTGGGTATGTTCATTTCTATCCTTCAAATTATTTCCTCTTCTTTCTCTTGCCCCTCCCTCTTCTTCCTCCCCTTCTCCTCCTCTTCCTCCTTCTCTTTCTTCTTCTTCTTGTCCTTTTTATGCATGATGCAACAGTAGAAAGTACCAGCATTTCCATACAATATCTAGAGCCATTTGTGACTCTAAACTCCCTCCTTTATATATTTTGCATGTCATTCTGGAGTACGGTAATAACTTTTAAAGTGTTCCTAGGGCTTAAAAAAATAGTCATTGGAAGCTCAGTGTCAAATAGTTATACCACATCAGTGCATGTTGTAACAATTTTGTTTTAAAATGTGTAGCTTCACTTCCAACTCCAGGAAAGTATTTCCTCTTTAATTTGGTACAAAAATCCTGCAGAATGAAGGATATGCAGCCTAATTCCTTCCAATTCTTAACTTCCTTCGGTTTGAAATTAAACCAGGTTTTCTTTGAAATTCGCAAGAATTCAGAGCCACAATTTTTTGCTTCTAGTTCCTGGCTGTGATTGGAAGTAGAAATATCCAGAATTAAAACTTGAAGATTGAAGCTCTTCACCCTGTCAAACTTGTTCTACCAGCACTTACTACTTCAGACCAGAAATAGAAAAAAGAATGACATCAGCTAGTATGTTCCTCAGAGTTCTGCGAAGAGAACTTCAAAGCTCATGCTTTTCTACCAGATGAGTGAAGCCTGTATTATTTTCCAGATTTAATAAGCCTTATTCTTTCTGATTTTTCAAGGAGATTGTGCTCCTGTGTCTTTCCAAGTTTTTATGTTTATTGCAACACCACACCAAATTACTCAGTAATCCACAGAGTAGTCATAAAAATAACTCATTAATGGGGCCAGACTAGTGATCTATAATCCTAGCTACTTTCTACACTGTCTATGTTTCAAGGTCAGCCTGGGTACAAAAGTTCACAAGATCCATTCTCAACCCATTGCTGGGTGCAATGATGTGTGCTGCTCACCAAAACTACATGATACTAAAATTGGGAAGACCTTGGTTCTAGACCAACTTGGGCAGAAAAGTCCGCAAGACTACATCTCCTCAGTGGGAATGTAAATATGGTGGCACATGCCTGTGATTAGAAAACCTACAGGAGATAGCGTGTGGTGGCTCAGTCTACACTTGGGTAGGGAATGAGATCCTCTCTTAAAAATAACCAGTGATAGATAGGACTAGAGATATGGCTCAGTCTGTATAGTACTACCCTAAAAACCATCCCGAGTTCAAATCCCAGTAAGGCCAAAAACAAAAAAAGTACTATGTCAATACTTAATGAGTACTATGCAGCTGGTGTTTTAAGCGAACATAGAACATTACCTTATTCTCTGAGACTCCCCTAAGAAAATTGCATTTCTACTGTTTCAATTTAATGATCAGAAGAAGTTTTAGTAATTATAATAATAAAAATAGAATCAATGGTGTCATTAAGGAAATCTTAAAAGTGAATTATCTTAATGACAGGTCAATGATAGACTCTTGAATGTTTTTTTTTTTAATCCCAAAATGTGTCTTGTGTTTAGAACATGGATCCTAATTTTTATTCATTAACTCAGCAATTTCCTTTACAGGCAACTCCATTTTTCATTTCCTTGATGCTGCTTGAACTTCTGGTCAGCTGGCTTCACAAGGGAAAGCCCTCAGGTCGTTTGGATGATGCTCTGACATCAATGTCAGCTGGAGTTCTGTCCCGGCTTCCCCAGTGAGTGAGCTCTCTTAGCTACCATACATGTAAAAACTTAAATTCTCTGTACGTGTGAAGGAACATGTATTTCCTATTAGATGGTCTATTTTTACATGTATTTCCTAAAGAATTCAGTACCTACCATTGTTTAGAATTTTGCTGTTTCAATAATGTTTAAAAAATATTTTGGCATTTAAAAATATTTGACTAGCCAGGTATTTGCGGCTGACCCTGGTAATCTAGCTGTACATTAGGCTGAGATCTGATCATAGGAGTCAAAGGCAGCCCGGGCAGAAAAGCCCATGAGACTCTTTCTCCAATGAACTGCCTGACACCTGGAAGTGGTGTTGTGGCTTAAAGGGGTAGAGTGTTGTTAGCTTTGAGAATAAGAGCTGAGGGACAGACAGTGCCCTTGCCTGAGTTCAAGCCCCCTGATGGGCTAAATAAAGAAATAAATAAGCATTATTTATCTTGTTACTGAGTTTCTAGGCACCTTCATAAAGTTTCCATCCAGAGTGGGTCCTTCCTTTGACTCGCTGTGATACTACCCCTGAATTTTAACTTAGTTCTTTACTGGAAATTTTATTTCTGCCCACCCATCTTTCCAGACATTCCTTAGTGCTGATCACACAAATTAGGTACCATGACAAAGTTCTCATAGCACTGTGTCTAGTCTCACTGCTCCCTTGGCAGCCAAACATTTTTATCATATGGATCTGGTAGAAAGCCATTTACTATTAACCAGGATTACTATTTCCCTGAGGTTAAAGTATAAACTCCTAGTTTACACTCTAGTTTATGATTGCTTAAACTACAATATAGATAGTCTTTGTCCTCTTCTGTGCTCTTCTTACCTTGATTGCATCATGCTTGGCTTAGAATTACTCATGGGCCACAGTAATCCAGTCTGCCTGGAAAGCCAGCCCTGCATCCACCTCCAGTTCATTAAGTAGGTCTGAGCATAGATGCCAAACACTTCAGCAATCTTCATCTTCTTTCCAGCCCCATTGGGCACTACTTCACTGTGGTCCCATGGACTCTTGAGCTCACCTAGGTCTGGAATTATCATGTACTATGGCTATCTGTTTGCTACTTTTATTGCAAATTGAGAGCAGGAGGTGTTACTTAAAATGATGTCTGCTGCATAGCAAATGTTCTAAAATAATAATGATAATAATAATAATAATTTGTGTAATATGTTGATGAAAATTGAGTAATAGTGTTACTAAATAGTAATGAAAATGGAATGACCTTTATTTCTGATGGAATGAACTATGATATAATTCCAGGGAATGAAAACCCAGTGGATGAAAAGTACATAAGGAATAATAGAATAGGCGTAGAGAGGAAAGAGTTCCTTTTATGGAATAGCTAAGGAATGTTCTCATTCCAACCTCCCATCCCTGCTTCTTATGCTGTTTTTAGAGATTTACTTTTGACAGTACTCATTGCTTTGGAATGCTTCCTAGGAACCACCCAGTAAGAAATTAAGGTAGATTTGTAAAAATGACATGTAAATTTGCAGATACCTGAGATAAGGTCCTTTCCTGACATAATCTAGAAAGAAAGTAAGGATGTGAAGGGTAAACAAAGGAGGAGGCTGCAATGTTTGGTAAGAAATGTACTCATTATCCTGCCCATGTAATTGTAACCCCTCTGTACAGTATGTTCACAAATAAAATAAAATAAAATTTAAAAAAGAAAGTAAATCATAAAATCTATCTTAATAAGTGTTACTTTGAAAAAAGTGGATTATAAAATATGTTGTAGTTGTGACAGGATTACAACTGGTATGGTTGTATGTAAAGATGAATAATGACACTTGGACATGATTATTAAACATCACTCTAAACATCACACAGTTAGAACATAGGAGAGGATCACAATGGCACAATAGCTGTGTGCATATGACCTATAAAATGATGCTTATTGAGATGAACCCCAAGAAATGGAAAACAAGAGATTTTTTTGCTCTACTGTTTGTAGTTATTTCATTTATCTTTCTTTTATTTTCCTTTGGTTTATTCCCTAATGTCACTGTTTTTTATTTCTGTGCCCTTTGTGTTGTTTATAAGTTTATCTGATTCAGGGAAGGGAAGTAGAATCACAGAAATGTGGGACAAAGGTTGAACCAATGCGACAGTGACACTCGTACACTATGTTGAAAGGGAACTTTACAACGTGGGAGGGAGGAGAATGGAAGGGGGATGTGGGACAAAATGAGGGAGGAGTAACACTGTTCAAAAAGAAATGTAATAATTACCTCACTTATGTAACTATAACACCTCTGTACATCACCTATAATAAAATGAAAATGAAAAAAAAGAATTTAACAAAGAAGGTAAAGTCTCTAGATTTTGCAGATAATTTGCTGATTATCTAAAATAAGAATTCAGGGCTAGGAAGTTGGCTCAGTGGTAGAGTGCTTGCCTTGCATGCATGGGGCCCTGGGTTCGATTCCTTAGCACCACATAAGGAGAAAAAAAGCCAGAAGTGGCCCTGTGGGTCTAGCCTTGAGCTGAAGAGCTGAGGGACAGCGCCCAAGCCTAGAGCTCAGCCTCCACGACCAACAAAATAAATAAGTGAATAAATTAAATTAATAAGGATTCAAAATTAACTTTATTTTGTTCTAGTAGTGGAACTTGAACTCAGTGCCTAGGTTTTGACTCTTAGCATTATTGCTCAAGGCTGGCAGTCTATACTTGAGACACAGGTCCACTTCCAATAAGAAATTTAAGTGATAATTCCCCCTATGACGTCTCCTTAAATCAGAAATGAAGACAGATTCATCTTGAATGTTCAGGGATATATATATATATATATATATATATATATATACACATATATATATACACACATATATATACATATATTTATATGTATATAGATCTGACTATTGAAAAAAAATTTGGCTTACATGCTGAGAACATTAAGTGGAACCCTTTGATAACTGGGAAAGGCTTGTAGTTGCTGTTATGGTTCATGTAATTCATTGATTTGGAATGAGTTTTTAAAGAACTTAATGAGAGCAATTTGAATAAATGTTTAAGTTATTGTTTCTTTTTCTTTTTCTAGTTTGACTTTGGTTACAAGTAAAATTGGATTGAATTCTGAGCATAACGTTGTAAATTTTGGATATTATCCTCAATACAGTATTTCTGCCTCAGCATGGTCACTTAAAAGGTAGAATTATAATAGCAAAACAAAAATCAGATGCACACTTTAATAAAAATCACATTCTAAAAAGAAAATAAATATGCACGTGCATATGCATGCACACACATACACACACACACCACACACACACACCACACACACACACACACACATGTCTCCAGTTATTTGCAGCTACTTCCCAAATTACTTCAATTACAAAATTTTAGACAATTTCCTCTAAGATGTGTCTCCCACAGGGTAGTGGAACAGGGTGTGACTGGAGGGAAGAAAGGAAGACAAAGGGAGAGAGAGAGAGACAGAAATTGAGAGGAGAGAAGAGAGAGAAAAATCAAAGAAAAAAACAGAAGGAAAGAAAGAAATCTCAACAAACCAAATCAATTCTGTCCTTCAGGGATATGAACATGAAATACTTATCTTTCACTAATGTGTATAAAACTCCTTAAAAACTAACACAAATTGCTAACTCTGGAGCACTTTAAGAGAGTGGTAAAAAGTTACGAACTTGAATTTGGGGAATATTTTCCTCTAACTGTATTTTTAATAAGAACAGCAAATTGCTCCATTTTTTTTGAGGTGTAAAGAACAATTTCATATCATGAAATGAGAGAAAGAATTTTGTTAGATTTTCTTTTCTTTTGTGAATGATTTTATCTTTGTTGAAAATTTCAGCCAAGCATCTGACATTTTATTTTTTTACACCCCCCCCATAATTAAAAAAGGAAAGCTGTTTCTCAGGAACTTTGTGCTGAAACCTCTTTCAGAAAAAAAATCAAAGGTGACTTGACATCCATTCTTAAAATAATATTTCAGTTGAAGCCACAGCATCAAGGGAAATCCCTGTGCAAGTCATTAACAGCTGAAGGTTAGGTTAACACAGTATCAATCCTATCTTCTCAGAGGGACTAATTTCATTTTCTATACCAGCAACAGGGACCTGGCCACATCCTTAAAATATGTGATTGCAATCAACAAATTTAGTATAGCATTAGTTAATCCATTTGTGAAGAACTGTCATTTGGATAATAATCTAAAATAGTCATGAAATCTCAAACAAGGAGAAATCAAAATCAACATGTTCATTATACTCCTTCGACATAAATGTTATAGAATTGTTATCTGCAGACTTTGAGAGAATACTATATTTATTTGAAGGTATCAGTTTCCCCGTTTCCTAAAACTTCCAGCATCTTAGAGATTAATTGCTTGCTCACACTTTTCATGGAAGAGATTCAGGCTGTACCTTTCAAATCACTAGGTAAGGAAAAATGTTCATCATAGACAGGATTGGATCTTGTTTGCAAGTCTGTTGGACAGAACATGATACGTAGTAAAACTTCATCTGTCTGAAAACCAGATTGTGGTCAGTCCTGCATCAGTTTTGCTCTTTTGAAATTAAGTAGGCAGTCTTTCTAGTCAAAATCTAGTTCTGGGGTTATCAACAGATCTTTCTATTTCTATTGAACACAATGCATTGTCTACACAATCTGTTTATCTGCTAGTTATTTACAGATGACTAAAATAATTAAACTTGGGTTAGCAAAATATATAGAAAAATCTATTTGTGAAAAAACTGATTTGAATCTTGTGAAATATCCAGCTACCAATTTAAATGTTAGTGAGTGAAAAATAATCACATCTTTTTTTCCTGCTTGTTTAACCAGAACTCAATTTCCAATCCTTCATTAGAAAACGGGAACTTCAATTTGTTACTTCCTTAGAATGTTTCTGCTTCCATAAATTGCATGCTCCCCAGAGTAGTTTTATTTCCGATATAAATATCTACAGTATGTTTGTTTTTAATGGGTTCATTTATTCTGTTGAAACAGCAGATGATAAATCAA